TGTTCTCTCCCCTAAGGCCTAAGTGCTTCATTGTTATCAAATGCTGTAGAAAATGATCACAGGGCGCAGCTTAACTCATGGGACCAAACCAAAGGACTAAACCAAAGATGAAACACAAGGGATGAAAGTGGGCCAAAGGAATTCAGTTTTGCAAAGCCGAGCAGGACGAACGTGCAGACGTGGAACAAGAGCAAAGGTCTGGGCAGATACAGACAAGCACACTAATCATGCACATGAGTTTCATTTTCTGCATAGGTTTCTTCTTCAGTTATCAGCATTTGCTACTTTTCTACAATAAATATACATTGCTTTTGAAAGAAATTTTGAGAGTTGCCTGGGTGGCTCAGTTAGTTAAGCATCTGCCTTCAGCTCAGGTCATGATCTCAGGTCCTGGAATCAAGTCCGTGTCTGGCTCCCTGCTCAATGGGGAGCCTGTTTCTCTCTCTCCCTCTGCTCCGCACCCCCACTCATGCACGCTCTCCCTCTCTCTCAAATAAATAAAATCTTTTTTAAAAAGAGAAATTTTGAAAGCTTTTTTTTGGTTACTTTAGTTATGGTCTAATGGATCTAATGGAGGCGGTATGACCAAGTAGAAAAAGGAAGGTGGAACTGGAAGCCAGATTAATGGGAGTTCCAAAAGCAGCTCTACCACTTACTAGGAGTGGGGCCTTGGACAAGTTACTGAACCTCTCTGAGTCCGTTTCCCCATATACGGCATTACAGTAATGGTAAGTTGCGAATGTGTAAATTCTTAGAGCAGGAGGAGAACACAGCACAACGCCTGGCACATAACAGACATAATAAAACGGTAAATGGCGTGTGAATCACATCTGCATCTGTGGTTACATCCTAAATCACTAAACTATGCCTTCCTTTGACCCTGAAAAGATTATGTCATTTCATTTTGTGCTCATGTCATTTGTGCGTACTGGGATACAGGATGATTTACAGAGCAACTAAATGATAGCCGACTCACTGGGTTCCAAAAGAGGATAAGCACAAACCTGGAAAGGAAGAGCTTTTCCATTCTCCAGTGAGTCTCGAGTGCTCTGACTGAAGCAGGCTGCCAGCTACCAAGTGCAAGCAAGTAGCACCACAGTACGAAATCGTATACAAATCTTTTTCCTTTTTTTTTTTTTTTTAAGAAACAGCTTTCATCAACAAGGATAAGTTTTTGAGAGTGATAACAGGGATCTCTCAGCACTGTCATTTCAAGACTCCTCTCCACCAAGAGCTTCAAGGACAACATAAGGTAGAAATAACTCTGCACTGGGTGGCTCAGTCGGTTAAGTGTCTGCCTTCAGCTCAGGTCATGATCCCGGGGTCCTGGGATCGAGTCCAGCATCAGGCTCCTTATTCATCGGGGAGCCTGTTTCTCCCTCTGCCTGCCACTCCCCCTGCTTATATGTGTGCATGTGCCCTCTCTCTCTGACAAATAAATAAATAAATCTTAAGAAGGAAGGAAGGAAGGAAGAATTCTGCACTGGGAATAAGAGTATGTGTTTCTTTCCCAGCTCTGTTATTACTTAGTTGTGACCATAAGCAAATCATTTCACCTCTACAAATCTTGGATTCCCTTCTGTAAAATGGGACATTTGAACCAGATGAATTTCATCTTATGCACATTTTCAAGGCCTCCTGTAGCCAGAGCCCAAGCTATCACGGTACACATCACCCTCTCCCCAGCATGCTCCATCTGCTTGAGCTGAACAATGTCTAGGCTCACTCATGGTTTCTCCTCTGCTTTGCTCTTCAGCACATGTGGGGCATTAGGCTCTCCCTTCCACTTAACCGCTTCTTACGGTCCTTGCAGACTCAACACAAGTCTCCCCCACTGTGAAAGTTTTCTCTGACCATCTCAGCCTTCCCTAACCTCACTGTCCTTTTGGAGAGATACTGTTTAATGTGTATTTATAATACTTCCTCAAGTAGACTGAGAAACACATGGAGGACAGAACTCCAAGTCTAATACCATTTCCGTATCACCCAACATAATGCTACCCATTTGGAGCCTTCCTTTGCTCTTTTGTAAAAGAGCTACCACCATCATCTATCTTTTAGAGTTGCAGGGAAAAACAAATGAAGTACTAATGTGAAAATGGCCAGCACGCTGACTAGAATCAATTAGGAACTCAAATATAAATTTCCTTCCTTTCTGCTCTATTTGGTGACTCATCTTCCCACAAGATGTTCTACAGAAAAATGTATTCATTCATTTGGGGGATGGACATCTACGTTGTGCTAGCAACCTTAGGGGACCTAGGGCAAATTCTAATTTCTCTGCAGCTTAAATTTTTTTCAAATGAAGATAACAGCACCTGTTCTCATCTCTTAGGATAGGAGGATAAAATGAGGTGATACATGAGAAAGCACTTTCTTTTGAAGAGCTACTGGCATTATTATTTTTCATAAGTCCTAGTTTCAGAAAGAAAAATCTTAAAACAACACAAGAGACAGTAAGATGTCAATGTTAACAGGTGATTTGATGATGACTGTGAAAATCCCACTCTTGATATAGACTAGAAATGTCAGAAAGTTGTATTACTGTTCCTTGGGGTAGAAAAGCACAGAAACTGAAAAGATTAGGAAGCTTTCTTTTTTGAACATAATCACCTAGGGCATTACTCATCTCCCATGCTCACATATTTTTTAAGGCAAACAATATCAAAAATACATCTGGGGAGCTCTGTGGGCCTCAGAATCTGGGCATAGCCATTTGACAGTGCTAACTGCAAAGTAATAAAAAAAATTAGTAACATTAAAAACTTTGTATTTATTGTAAGTAAACTTCATTATTATTATCTCTTCTACATGAAACTCTGCAAAGAAGTGGGGAAGAGAAGAGAAAAACTATAGTCCTCAAAGTGGGGTTTTGTTTTGTTTTGTTTTGTATCAATAGAAGTTACCAACACCTATAGGGTGTGGAATATAATGAAATGTAAGAAAGAACCACTGTACAAGGCAAGGATTAAAATAGATCCATAAAGGGACATTTCTGTCCCAAATCGTTTTGTGAAAAAATATGAGAAACATGATTAGGGGAGGGTGATCTAGAGAGAAGTGTTTTTAGAAGAAAAATATTCTTCTAACAACAACAAAAATGCATCAGGACATTGGTGACAAAAAAGATTTTAGAATTATTTAGGGACTCTGCTTTTTTTCCATCTATGAATGTAATCACCCAGACAGGTAAGTAGAGCAGTGTGGTTGGTGTGAGAGGGAGGGAGGGGTGTGTGTGTGTTGGGGTGGATTTAATCTCATTGTGCATTTCTTTCAATATTAGTTTACAAAGTTAATTAAGGAATACCTATCCAAAACAGATCACCACTCTTACAAGAAGTCATGTAAAAATGTATTTTTGTTTTTCTTTGTTATATACCTAACCACATTTTAAAAAACATTTCAGCTTTATTAATTTATATAAATATGCCCTTGCCATAATTTGTAATACATTTTATAAGTGACTGGAGGAAATTTCATGCATCGCTAATTCATACATATAAATGTGAAGTTTGCATTAAACGTCTCTAAACAAAACCCTACTTCCTTGCTATTTTTAGAAGGAACAGGATAAAGAAGAGACAAGAGGACTCTCATTACAAAGACCGACCCTCTTAAAATTAAGGCTATTCTGTTTTGAGCATCAACCTGCTAACTACTCAAACAACCCTGGTACCAGGATTTAAAAAAGCGCAAGTCTGGAAATACTACAATGGCTGATTGGCTTAAAAATAACATGTTAGAACCAGGGAAAACAGTGATTATAAGTGGCTGGCAACATTCCAGTGCTGCTTTTTAGTACTCTTTTAAACTCCTTTGGCTACCAATTCTCATCTCACACCATTTTTAGGTTTCTGCCAAACAAAGCGGGACACCGCTCCTACAAAAGTGTAGAAAGGACCGAGCAGCACACTACCCACGTGCACTCGAAACCAGTAAAACCCTTCAGGCCTGCCAGGCATGGGTACACCAAAATGCAAGATAGACTCTTCTTGAAGATGGGCCATTTTATAGCTTTCTTAGAACATATTATGGCAGTCATTACTTATGATATGTTCTAAAAACTGTCACTAAAAGTGGACTTTTTAAGACATAATGTAGGCACAGTTCATAGTTCAATTCTCTAAGAGAAAATTAAAAAGAGTAAACAATCAAGTGCACAAATGACTGCAAAAATATGCTTAAAATGTAATGAAACACACAGTAGACATTTCTTGAAAATAAGATTAAGAGGACTGTTTTGACATTTTATTAGTATTGTTAGTAAATTATGGTTTTATACAGTTGAAAAAGAGAAAAAAAAAGCTCTTCCAAAATTGTTACCATTAACCAGTGTTTGTTTGTTTTTTTAATCCGCCAGACTATTTTAACTGTCTTGGAGTTCTTATATGGATACCTTTCCAAGAGCTTACCATAATGCAAAAATCTAAGGAAATGTTCAGATGATTTTATATTTTTGTATAGAACCTATAGAAAATGCTTGGTTCCCCAGAGATACCATTCTTAGACACCTAAAATGCAAGACACTATTAAGCAACATGTCTTTCAAATAGCTGAACACCTTTAAACAAGATAGGCTTGTGGTAATTTAAATTTTACGTTGAATCAAAGAAAAACGAAGTCCATATCATACTCATAAGGCCATGGAATAATGCAACGTTACTTAAGTTAAATATGTTCATACTTAAATAAAAATGAAATAGCATTGGAATAAATACCAACCATTCTTAATCACAGTTCAAGTTTGATAACCAAAATCAAAAATTTAATGTCATGCGAAATACACCTCAAAGATCAACCAGTGCAAAGCTGCAAGCTTTAAACTTTTTGATAGTGTCAATAAAATCCCCAGGAAAGGAGAATACTGCAACTCCCCTTCGAACATAGACGTTTTAAATCTTGGTTAAACAGACGGAATGTTAAGAATGGTATGGTTTTTATTTTCCATAGCAGGTTTATTGACACTTTTTTTCTAGTAAAGTTTGAAAATCTGACACTACCTGTCCACATAGAAGGGGAAACAAAACTTGGTCAAAGTCTGTAGAACTTCCTGTGGAGAGAAAGAGAGATAATTTATACATCTAATGGGACCAATAAATCTAGCATTAAGCACGGCACACAGTCTAGCAACTTTACCCTAAAGAAAGAGGAGACAGATGAAGAAATATGGGCTTTATCAATTACATGGGAGGAGTACAGGCAGTCAATCATGAGAAATAATAAACATGATCAAACTTCATTAAAAATGAAAAATTAATCAAGAATCACACATGGGCAAGCAGCAGGGGCCATGCAGGAAAGCTCTGAAGGGAGGGAGGCGGTTGGGTTGCTGAGTGTTAACACCCCTCCAGGGACCATCTCCAGCCTGACCATATGGATCAGAGTGAATAACACTGAGCCACATGGGTTTGGCCTGGCAGGGCCGCTGTTGCTGGCACTGTTTTTGCCTGTTACCTAGGAACAGAGGGGCTGGGATTAGACAACGCTTCCCTACATCAATAGGCCAAACCACAAGCAGAATAGAAAGCCAACATGAAGATAATTGTCCCTGAATGTTGTCAACTACATTTTTTCTAGACTTTAAAACTTCATTTCCTTACTTTATAAAGAAGTTGCCATCTCTGGCATAAATTTATTTTGTAATCAAACAATAATAATTCTAAGTATGCACTATTTTCAGTCAGTGTCATTATAAGTGGGAACACTTACCTGCTTGTAATTTGTGAAAATCCAAAGCAAACTACCAGATTAAATATCTTTTTACAAATATGTAGGTAATAAGACCAAATGGCATTATTCAGGGGAAGAGTACAAAAAGGAAACAAAAAGCAGAGCAACATTTCAAAGACTTATTCATAAAAGCTTCTTGCATTAAGAACACCACTATATGAGACACAATACACAGTGGGTGCGTGCATGTGCGTGAGACTTTTCCCAAGAGACACATCTCCACATACACGGCATATATACACATAGCTAAACACATATACAAGTAATTAATTATTACTTCCTTCATAAAATTTTCTCTAGCTTGACTTAATTTAACTGCAGACTTGGACAGCCCACAGTTGGTGCTTATCATAAGTTCACAGACCAACATTATAAATTTTAAAAAAGTATTCCTTTCATGCATTTGATTTGCTTTTTAACTATTTAAAATCCCAACTTCAAGACAAAATGAAGAACACATTGTTCAGTCATTGAGAAGCTGGGTCAAATTAAAATAAACCTGCCCATTGCAAATCCTAATCCAAGTGATAAATTATAGATCAGTTTACAAATGTAGCACTTTTCTAACCAATAATAATGAATTATCAATGCTAACTGAATTGATGCTTCTCGCTTCATTTATTTTTAAAACCAGTTCTATCATTCAAGAAATAAACCACATCAATCTAATAACCCACTCAATGAAGCAGAAAGCACATTGACTTGCTCTGCCAGAGCATGTTCCGCCTACATAATTCAATTGAGCATATCCTATTTTTTAATATCATCTTGGACTGGTACTATGTATATCACAGCACTGTTAAGGCATGTCACGAAAGAGTAAAGGCAGAGGAAACTAAAAAAGTGAAAAAAAGCAGATAACAAAACTTCAGCACATTCTATGAGGCATTATTGATACATCAGCTAATTCCATAATGCGGCATCCAGAAATCCATATAGGTTGTTTTAAAACTAATTATGTTTAAATAAATTGCAAAAGCTAATCAAGAATCAGAAAAAATGAGCCATTTCTCAGTGCATAATGTTAGTATCGGGCAAATATTGGGAAAAAGGTCATAGAAATCAGTTTAATGTCTGCAGTCTAAAACATACTCTAACCCACATGCACCAAACTCTTACGATTTACATGCAAAAAAAAAAAAATAATCCTTACAAATTTCCTTTCACATCAGGTTTCAGATACCACAAAGCATCTCCTGACTCCAGTATATGTACTGAGCATCCTTTAAAACTCAGTACCCAGTGCTCACTCACTGCCAACATCAGCTACAAAGACAGTTATCCTTTACCCTCAGAAGTGACAGGTGCAGAAGTGCTTCTCTACTCTATGCTGGAGTGGAGCTGCCAAAAGGCCTCAAGATTTTTGAAAGAAAGGACCCCCATGGTTCCGAGGAAGCATTGTGCTCTACAGCAGAGTCAAAGGAATCTAATATGCCCAACTTATTACTCACTACAATATAGAAACTACTTACCACTTTCTAATGTCAAGAGTAATAACCAACCGTGAACTTGTCTGTCAGATAATATTAGAACAAATATCAAAATACCCAATGCAGGCCGGGTATAGCCCACCTCCCAAGAGCTTTCCTTTTACCCAAGAAAGCAGTGATAAGTCTAATTAAGCAATGGGGCAGGAGGAGGGGAGGAGAGAGGGGAATATAGGCAAATGTAGGCACATGTTTGTGCCTTACAATATGTTTCTTCATGTTTGTGATATTACAAGAGCTTGATATTCCAATTTAAGTCAAACAAGCCAGTGGTGTGCTGTCAGAGGAGAAAACAGAAATGAACATCTACTCTGTGTTAGGCATATTCACACATTATCTCAATCAGAACTGAAAAATCTTCTTAGTTTGATCAGCAGAAGACAGGGAAAAACAGGCAATGTGTCTTCTAAATAAAACCTGCTGAAACAAACCAATTTTCTTAATACTGATTTTTGCCTAAATACACACATTTAACCACCTTATCTTCTATTTCCAAAGAAAAACACAATTACCTGAAGAGGAAAAGTACCATTCCCCAAGAGAGGGGACTTCAAAACCCTGATTTAAATATAATTTGAGCATTATATTTATGGCAGAGTGTCTTTCAATATTAACTTTACTGGAAAGAGTCACCGAGCAGTTAGCAACCCCTTTTTTCTCACTAGGATCTGTGTCTCTGGCTAGGGAACTTTCTTTGTAAATGGTAATTTTCTGTTTTCTCCCCTCTTCCTCTTGCCTACACAAGCTCTTTCAGACAACCAGCCTCAGTACAACCTCAACTACTGCCACATAAATCAGATCTTCAAGATGCAGTACGGCTGATGAAATGTAAATGACCTCATTGCTAAGGCGGGGGGTGGGGAAAATTGTGCCAGCTATCCAGATCAATTCCCAAGTTTATATTTTCACAAATCTTTTTATGTACAGTTTGATTTTTTAACATTTTAATGAGCAAAAAAGTGAATCTATAGTAGCCAGTCACCACAGTTAAAGTGCAGGGCATGAACTAGATCCCAGGAGGGAACCAGTCCACCATGTCACCACTGGCTTTAGGACATTCGCCACCTGGTTCCATGTCCCCAGGTTCCAACTCTTTTCATAATCAAAACACTGCTGACATTATAAACCCCAGACGGGTTTTCTAAAATCCTTCCCAATCAATATATCCAACACATAACTTATTGGAGACAACACTGAGCTCATTGATTAAGGTGAGTTCAGTCGCAAAGTTTTCAAAATAAATGAGACAAGAATTCAGCATTCAACCCCTGTGTCACCAGACAATTTATGAAATAGGCAATTTCTAAAACGGCTTTTCTTCCTAACAAAATCAACGATACTTCATGTGGGAAGAAATAAGAGCAGAGGGGGTGGGGGGGATGCACGGAGGACAGACAGTTGCGCAAATCTTTTAGTCATGCATGTATCAAACAGCAGATTGCACGGTGTAGTTAGAAAAGGAACAACATCTACAAAGCTCTGCCCACAAGGTGATACCAACCCTCAGAGTTTGAACCAAACATGAAATCTACACACCTAACACTGCATTCACTTGCAAATAAAAATCAGAAATGAACTGAAGATTCACTTCAGTCTCCTTTGGATTCATTTCATCCAATGTGAATTCTCCTCTGGTCAGAAGGCCCATCAAGGGGACTTGCTCCAATCTGGAGAAAGTGGATTTTGTTCTGCTGAAACTAAGGCGTTCTCTTAAAAACCTGGTAAAGCTTTAAATTTATAGTATTATCCATCACAGAATCCTATCTGGAAGGAAAACTCCGAAGACTCAATTTGATGCAGTTAACAGATTATTAATAACAAGGCTAAACCAATTTGCTCTAAATTTGGGGTGTGGGTAGGGAGGTGTACAAGATCCTGCCACAGCCATCAGTTTGGACGTCAATACTTTGTTTTCATTGCTTCGCTGAAACCCATAAACAAAAATTAGTTGTATTCAGCAGATGAAAACAACCGACAGTCAGACCCAGACATACCACCCCACAAATAAATGCCATCTGAAAGACAAAAGCACAGGCTGATTATAATGTCCACTGGGGTTATAGAATGTTGCGAGATGAGACACATTTTCAATAGTTCAAAAAGAAAAAGAAAATGTTTGCAGGAAAACATTTAAATAAAGGAAAGAGATAGCCTGAGTAAATGAATGTATTCTAAAATACAAAGAGCTGTAATCAGTCACTTTGTAGCTTGCTGAAAGCTAGTACAGTAGTTGATAATTTACCTTTGTCCAAAAAGAGTGAAGGAGGGAGAGACGGGGAAACAGTGGGAGAACATTTCCTGAGTTTTTTTATATCTAATTTATTTGTTCATTTCAAAATGTAGATGTGTGATGAAATGATCAGTGGAGCACAAATTCCTAAAATGCTCTATTTCAATGCTTAAATTTTTTTAATAGCGTGAGGGAAATGCTGACCGTCTAAGTCCTGCAATTGAGATCAGTGCCACTGACCTGAAAGAAAAGCCTCTGATTGATGATCTTAAAACTCAAGTTGAAAGTTAAAAACAGAACACACACAAAATCCAAACACACAAAAAGCTAACAAAATTTCTAACCTAAGCCGTTTCAAGTTAAAACCAGGGACTCCGAGTGAAAGCTACCAGAGGTTTTAATGCTTATGATGAAGAAGGGTAAAACAGAATGGTAAGAAGTTTTTAGAAGCTTAATTAGCACCAAGTTCAAGAATGTTGATCAGAAATTTCTAAATATGAAAATAGGAAACAATTTTTTCTCCTTCTCTATAAATGTCAAATTAAATCCAAGATCCATATTATAGTTACAGCCAAACTTCAAAAAAAAAAAAAAATTTCCAGT